CCAGCTACCGCAAAGTCTTCACAGATCATGTTGCTGTTTTAAAAGCCTCAGTTCTCAACCCTGGGGTGCTTGTGAGACCCTTTTAAGGGTGCCATGCAACATTAGCACTGCTAGGTGTGCTAACACCTACCCGCTTGACAAAGTAAACCCAATAGGAAATCCAGAGTGTCTGATCTGTTGCAGGCTTACTGAGTTCTTTGCAACAGAAAAAGTGCTGTTATTCTTTTTCCCATAGTCAAGAAAGGGGTGAGAGCTAAGAGCTGGCATTTCCCAAGGGGGGACCTTGAGTCCAAAAGGTTGAAAACCACTGGTTTAAAAGCAAGAGATGCAGTGTACCACAGCCACTTCCAGCTGAACCAGGAGAAAACCTGCAAAAGAGTAGAGACTAGTGGCCTAGGCACAGAGGGCATCTACACCATGGCAGTTCAGCTGTGCCACCAAGGGGGTCAACCCCACAAAGGATGTGCCACCGCTGAGCACACCCAAAATGCAGCTTCAGGGCTCTGCACCAAGGGTGCTTTCACTGCCTGGCTCCTACAGTGGACATGCAGAGCAGAGGCAGCAAGCAACACACCCCGGTGCAGGCATCCTCAGAGGCTCCAGCCCATGGATGCACTCACGTAGGTGCTGAAATCAGTGCAATTTAGGCCCCTACTAGGGGTTACACACAGGGATAGGTGCTCTGCTGGGTCAGGACTCCTGGGGCCCATCTTTATCTCCCCCACGGACTTATAACTGAAGCAGATATTTCCCTGTACCTTGGTTAACCGAGTGCATTAAAAATGATGCATCACATGGAACTTGCTTTGAGATCCATTGGAAACCCCTCCCCACCACCTTCCCAACAACGCCCCTCTGCTCAGTCGCACAGACGTGCCTGTTGCTAGTCAGAATTACAATCCCGTCTAGGTAGCTTGGAAAACAGCGGGGGTTTTGCTCCTCAGGGTCCACCTGGGACTTGTGAGCGGGTGAGTCACAGGAGCAGAGAGAGAGAGACGGTGTCCCGACTCTTCTGCGGTAAATGCTCACCAGAGAGTGCCATGAGATCAAAGCTGCGCACAAATCGGGAGCAGGGCTTCGCATCTCATCTGATAAGCAGGAGCCGCTCAAGGCGAAGCCACGGGGAAAAGCAGCCTGGAGACTGGAAAGAGAGACAATCACTTGAAACATGCAGAAAGGCCAGAACAAGTGGGATCACGAGGGGAGAAGAAAAGGCCTTGAAGGAGAAAGGGGGGGTGGGAGACAAAGTTGAGACAGCTGGTACGTTATCAGCACTAGGCCTTTGTCAGCAACAGCCTATCAAGGGAGATACCCGCCTGCTGGCAGAAATACGGCTGCTGCCGTGAACGTCTGATTTATTCTGAGCTGATGTGAAGCCTCTCCTTTCCAGACATCCCTTAGATGAGATCCTAGGTCCATTCTTTTAGTGCAGCTCCTTAAGGGCCCAGCTGAGATAAAGATCCCAATGTACAGCACCTGACACATGTACACAGACACAGGGGTGTAGAAGAGCACACACCAACTGCAGATGCTTCCTCAGCCTGGCGAAGGGTATTTAAACCTGAAAGCTTGCCAAGAAGAATTTTTCCAACTATTTGAGTTGATCGAATAAAAAGATATTTGATTTACCCATGTCTGCCCGTGTCCTTAGACCGACACGGCTACAACCAATACTCCCGGTGTCACTCCAAAACACGTCTGCAGAGCTTAACTGCAACTGCAGGGTTTGGGGAAGGCCAATTTGTACAGCTCCGAGCATAGCAAGGGGGCCCATGGCAGTTCTTAGACCCCCACCCTCATTGTACAGGTGGAAGGGCTGCAGGTCCGGAGGCAAGCAGCCCTTGGCATATCTGGACAAGAGCAGGGAGGGGAAGGGAGGGTGGGAGCGCGGCTGCAAAGGGGATGGAGACAGGGACGAGGGGAGCAGTTTGGGGGCAGGCTCGTGCTCCCAGCCCCGGGCAGGAGGCTGCAGCTGGGCTGGCCCAGGGAGAGTTCCCCTGGTGCCAGTCTTGGAGGCGTTGTGGGCACCATCCCCTCGTGCTGCTCTGGCTTGCTCTCGGCAGAGGGCGGTGTTGCTGCACAGCTGAGTGACCAGCGGTGCCGACAGCCTCATCGGTTCCATCACAGGGAGAGGCTTTCTAGGAATGGAAATAAAATGGCCTTTCTGCCATCCCAGCCTCTCTCCAGTGAGGATCCCGACGCCCTGTCCTTCCACAGGCGCCAGCTGCGCTGCTCCCCCGTGCCCCCGCCAGCTAGATTATCCCTCCTGCAAGAAGGGTGAAGGCTAAACAGGCAGATCCCAGCCCAGTCAAGGACAGCAGCAGAGTCGGGGGGGAGACCCCCAGCTCCCCGCTCCTGCTCTGATCACCAGGCAACACTCTCTTTCTCCATTAATTGGCCTCGTTTCCCTTCACCCGGCTGGAGGAGCGCACAAAGAGCGGGTGCTAGTAGCCATGCATTGCGCATACGCACCTCTGATGCACCCAGAGCGCAACTTGCTTCCAACTCAGCTGCCCCCACAAGACCCCAACTCTGCACAGACCAGGCCTCAGTGAGCCCAAGGAGGCTGACAGGAGGGGCAGGTGCTTGTCCAGGGCTCTGCAAGAGGCTGCTGAGGGTCTGAGTACACCGAGAGAGAGCTCGTCCTGGTGGTTAAACCTCTTGGCACGCTCATTCCTGCCACTGGCCCAGCTGCCCTGCTCTGGATCTCCATCGTGACCCCCATATTCTGTCTCTGGAGGTGGGAGAACATGCAATCCCCATGCTTACAAGCAACCCCCTGACTTCCAGTAGCAGACATCTCCCAGAGCATGAGCCTGCCCCATACCCACCTGCTACAGGGCAGATTCACACATATCTCTCCTGGTTTTGGAGACAGGCAATGACCCCAGGAGGAACCCGATGCCTCACCCAGCCTGGCAGCTCCTAGAGCACATCAGCCTCCCTTGCAGAGGATGTCTCATTGCACTGCTGCGGAGGGCAGAGCACAGCGCCAGCACCGGAAACAGCAGCAGGGAGCCCGCGCCACCAACGCAGTGCCCATGCACCAGGCCCTCAGCCACGCGCCTGGCTTAAGTAGCAATCAGAGGCGCACCCCAGCCTGTTCCCCAAAACACCTACAGCCATCAGCAGCCTCATCATTTTCCCCGGCCCACAGCATGCAAACCCCATGACCCGGCTGTCTGCACCGAGATCCCTTTGAATTTCATGTCA